TCCAAATAGGTAGAGTATTTCAGCAACCTCCTAAACCGTCCACTACACACCACTGCACCCGCTTCAGCATTACCCCGGCAAGGATATGATGCGGATTGCTCACCGCCATCTCCCACAGAAAGGGCAGATACCATTCGTTGTCTGAAGCCGAAAGAAGCCACATGAGCGGATTGGATTCCTATGAAAAACTATAAACTTTATCTAATAGCTCTCCTTGACCATTTGAACGAGCACTTCTGCTTGATACGAGCGACCGAAATCTGTCCTTCCTCGTGGATTACCACAGTACTACTGTCATTTCCCAAGAAAGGTGACTAAACTGCGTGCAGTAATGATCGTGAGATTAGCCTAATCGATGTGACTGCCAAAACCTTCAAGCAAATCTTGCTTTCCCGCTTCGCCAATGAGAGGAAACTGCGCACTCACCATAACCAAGGTGGTTTTCGTCTAGGCAGGCATTGCACTGACCACTAACTCAACGTCGAGTACTCGAACACCGTTACCAATTCCAGCAGCTCACGTTTGTGTGCTTCATTGATCTTCGAGTTGCCTTTGACTCAGCTGGCCGTGAATCACTGGAGAATGTTATTTGCCAATGGCGTGCCCGTTACACTGGTTAACTTGATGAGATCATATAACTATTGCACGAAGGCTAGGATTCGGGTCTATGAAAAAAATAAAGGAATTCAACATCCGTAATGGAGTCCGACAAGGTTGTCCATTTTCTCCAGTGCTGTTCAACTTCGCTGTCGACTGGGTTATGCATCATGCCCTTAAGGGCCATTATGATGTTCAAGTTAGCTCTGACTTCTCGCTGTCAGATCGAGGAATTTGCTGACGATATCGCTATCCTTGCGGAAGTGGCTATATCATTACAGTCCGCTAAATCGGGTCGAGCAATCAGCCTCTATGGTCGGCAATGAAATTAATATCAGCAAGACAAAATACTTCTCATCGTTAGTCACCTAGTCCGTCCCGTCGTCTTTCTTACATGGACAACTCATCGAATCTATTCTTGAGTTCAAGTATCTTGGATCCACTATACTCCCAAATGGTCAGGCTACATCTGAAATCCGGAATCGTAACGATAGCGCTAGAACAGCCTCCTTACAACGGAAAAACACATTGGGACGTAGGACAGAAGTTAGTCTGAGAACGAAGATCCGAGTATTCTCAGCAACCATTCGTGCCAGTTTACTCTATGGTTGCGAAACAAGGACGCTGCGATACGAAGACATGCGTAAGCTGGAAGTCTTCGACCATTGGCGTCTAAGGCTTATCTGGAAAACGCAGTGGCAAGAGCGTGCCCCCCATGACGAAATGCGTAAGTGCTGTTGAAGTCGTTCGAAGCTTAAAACGCCCATCCAACACCGCAGACTTCAGTGGTTCGGTCACGTCTTCCGCAGACCAGACACTGACTTCGGTAGGGCCGTGGTTTCACCCTCGTCTTGCCAGGGATTATGTCGTCGCCGTGGTGGTGGACAAGTGAAAAGGTGGCTCGCTGCGGTGAAATCGGATGTCGATCTTCTGGGACTGCATGTTGTGCACGGTGCTCGTCACTGGAGGGATCACTGGATCAGTATGTGCGTGGAGCTTGCCGCCGACCGCTGCGCTTGGGCACCTGTAATATGCGACATTCATGAAGCCGGCTCAGTCTGTCGCAAGAGCTAGATGTAGTAAAGTGAAAGAAAAGAAAGCATCAGGTCGGCTGGCTCGTTTAAAAGCATAGAAGTTGCGTGAGAAAAAAACGGTGCTTGTTTGTCATTTCTGCCTAAACGCCCACAAATTATAGTGCTGACACGGTGGAAGAGGAATTCTATCACAAATTAAACGTGCTACTCCGTCACAGTAAAAGTACGGATACAGTGACACTTGATGGTGGTTTGAACGCGCAAGTCGGAAAACTGTCCACTGAGAGGCTTCATCTGAGCAGGCTACACAGTGTAGGCTCCCGTAATGGTAACGGTGAACGGTTACTACACCAGTGTGAAGATGCTAGTCTCTTTCTTGCCAACAATAACTTCCGACACTGCATGCGCCGGAGGATGACATGGAGCCCACCAGTCTCGCACAGCCCATCGACACAAATCGAGCACATTGTTATCAGTTGCTGCTAGAAAGCATACGTGCAAAATTGTCGCTCGATTTAAAACACGAGCGCGAACTTTGACCACACAATTGTTTGCGAAGAACTCCAGGTAAGTTTCGGTGAACGGCTGCAACGGAGCAATGAACGCATAGATTTTTGCCAGCTGGCGAATCCCGATGCACTGAAGGTGCAACAAAGTCCGCTGGCATCTGAGCTGAGTTAAGGCCTATTAAACACAGTTAAAAATCCCTGATCGCAAATCCGCCAGAGGTTGCTAGCAGCAGGCGTGTCGTCATGTGGAAATCCAATACCCGAACTGAACATCAGGTATTCACTCAGTCACTAAACGTTTTGGATGCTCTCTGAGGTGTTCCGGCTGGAAGCGGATACAACGAGACTCGAAAAGATCTCAGGGCAAAATTGAGTACTAGCCTGAGGAGAGACTGCAAAGCGTGGTGCTCTCATCGTGCACCAGGGATAGAAACAGCCGCTGTCCTTGGTTCTCATCGGAGGTTATTCCGTCTGATAGGAGAAACGGGCAGCAGGAAACCCGGTGCTAGTGAGACCATATGTGATGAGAGTGCACATTTGATCCACAGTTTATCAAAGCGCTTGGAGCGTTGGGCGAAACACTTTGAGAAAGCAGTTTGATCAATCAGAGTTGCCAGTTTCTCCATCGGCCAATGAGCGCCCTACTTGCTGGGTCGTCACCCCAGAAATCGAACTTCAGATCAGACAGCTGAAATTAAGCGGCCGTCGGAGTAGCTGGACTTCATACAGCCCTCTTCAAGTTTGGGGGTTTGCCCTTTTGGACAATTTGTATAAGTTATTAGTGAAGTTATGGGTGTAGGATATTGTCCCGACAGACCGGAGCCGCTCCGTAATAGTTCCAATTTTCAAGGGAGGCTCCCGTTCCGAATGCGGCAATAATCGATAAACCAGTCTGATCTGCATTGCCTCTAAGTTACTTGCGTTTGTCATGCTCCGTAGACTGACTGGCACTCGTGAAAACCAGATGCACCAAGAGCAATCTCGGTTTCGTCGAAATCGAGGCTGAAATAAGCACAGCTTCACATTACGTCAGTCATTGGAGCACTGCCATGTTTTTCGGCGAACCACTGTTGTCTTGTTCCTAGATATTAAAGGAGCCTCCGATTCTGTTGATCCACGTGCGCTTTGGGGCTGTCTAATCAGGAAAGTCGTGCCCGAGAAGTATTATCCGAGCGCTATACGCGCTTAACTGGCAGAGTGAGGATTTATGGCAAGCTGTCACCTCTTCAATATCTCCTGCAATGTAAAACTAGGTTTCCCGCTGCCACCTTTCCTGTTTAACATCATCATTGACAAAGTCATGGAAACGGCGTTCAGCGGTTACGACTCCCTGGTGAACGACTTCTCGACTTCGAGTATGCCCACGACATTGTGCCCCTCAGTGGCAGCTTTCCAACGTGCCGCGATGCACGAGATAAGTCATCTCGAACTGTCAGTCGTTTCGGGCTATGCTTTGCACCATCGAAATGCAAAGTTCTTCTCCAAGATTGGCAGGAACCCACTCCTGACGGACCCTTGGTCGTGATCAACTAGAAGTCGTCAAGAAATTTAAGTATCTGAGCAGCTATATCAGCGCCCGTGGGATTGAAGATGGGGTCAAGTACGGTAAAGCAAAGGCTCGACGAGCTTTTGTTTGTCTCTGCCGTCTGTGGCGCCGGCGTGACATTACTCTAACTCTGAAGGGCAAAGTTTGCAATGCACTCGTCCATACAACCCTACTTTACTGGGGCGCCGGTGTGACATTACTCTAGGTCTGAAGGGCAGAGCTTACAATGCACCCGTCAGCACAACTTGGCCCATCAATTCGACAGACAACAAGAGGCTAGCGACGTTTGATTATCGCTGTCTTCGCAACTTAGCTTATGTTTGGTGGGAGCACTGTGCGAGCAATGAGGGGGTTCGGCGTCGCGTATTTGGTACAAGAAGAGCGAGTGAACCGCTCAGTACTATTATATCACGCACCAGACTCTGATGGCTGGGCCCGGTGTTGCGCATGCCAGGACACCGACGCCAGCGACGTGCATCGTCTGCGCACCGGGGGTGTGGATGGAAAAAGAGTAGGGAAGGTCAAGCGATGACTTGATCGAGAGGAATGAAAACCCTTACTTCGAAGTTGGTGTCGGTTGATGCATTCCGCGTGCCTGGCAGGGGACAGAAGGATGATGAACGTTTGGTCGGATACACTGGCCGGCATGGTGAAGAGTAGAGTTTGATAGCGTTTGTATTGTTTGTATGTTTCGCCATCCCCATCCCTTTAGCTTACCCTTCACCAGCGATCAAAAATGTGATATTAGCATTAGCTTACTTATTTATAGCTATTAAGTCTACATTGCTCAATATCTTACGTGTTCGTATTGCGGCACAGTAGCTGAGGTATGTTTCTCATCCTCGGCTAACGTGATGATGACGATGACGACGGACACCCTCAGTAGTCAGTGTACATGGGAGTTGTGTATTCAGCGTACTTCGTATTGCCAGCAGTAGTACAGAAAAAACGTGCACAACGCAGCAGCAGCAGCGGCATTACCGTGTACAATTAATGGTCAAACGAAGTGAATTAGAAAGCCGTGAATTAGAGCATAACAGCTAGTTTTGGTAATGCAAACAACTGGGGTCACTTGATCACTGGCTATTGCTTGCCACTGCATGTGGGTGAAACTGCAACTTCGTGAAAGAAGTAACCCCGAATGAACCACTGGGTTGCAAAGGGTTGGCAACCCGGACCGAAAATTAGGTACAGTAAAGGAAGAGATAAACTGTATATTCCTGCGGTCCGCAGTAACAAAGTTGGCAGCAGAAACAAAGGTAAACAACAAATAGGTTGGAACAAGTGGAGCAGAGGAGTGGCATGCCCGCTTACCATCAGGTGTTTCAGGTTCGCAGCACACAAGATCCGCGCCAAGAAAGTGCAAATGTGTGTAAACATCGGGTTTTATACAAGGTTTGGTGTATTGCAGTCTATGAATCTTTTGACAATGAACACTTGCAAGGTCCGACCAATAAGACTCCTTCTGACATACAGAAGCGGCTGTTGTTTCCAGTTTTAGCAAGCGACAGGAGGGAGGAATCCTGGAAAGGAGAATACGTTGCGTTTGAGCTGAATGATAGCTACAACAAAGTGATCAGCTCACCAGAACAGACCCATGGTTGAATGGAATAGTTTTCTCGCCTGGCTCTCGAGCAGCCAACCGACAAGCCTATTGGGCACCATCCCTCAAGATTCACTTCGATGACGGGAGAGAACATTGCACGGACGATGCCCTTATCAGGATATATCGTCTGACAATACTCTAAGATATTCGTCTCCGCATGCAAGCAGTGTTGATTGGAGTCTTGGATCCATCCTTCCTCAGTTAGAAAAAGTGAAGGTCTTCCACAACTAAAAGCAACTGCCATTGGAGTATCTTTCCCGGATGCAACACACGTGGAGGTGAACTTAGCGTAGGTGAGCAAACGCGACTGCAAACTTACCCAGGAGAGACACAGTAGCAGACGTACCATGGAGAAGGGCTCCATCTACGAAAACACAGAAGAGGAGAGAAAATGATGTGCAAGGATGGAAGACAGCAACATTGAAAGCTCCATTAGAAACAGAAATGTCATCATGTTAGATGGAGCGCAAAGAAACATGAGAGACAGTGCAAATGTAGCGAGTTAGGCTTGTCTCGAAACCACAGGTGACCTTGTAAAAAGTTAGAGGAATGCCCAACAAATTCGAATGAAAGGACTGAAAAGATAAATGCAGCGGGCGGACTTCAAAGGATAAAGTAGTTCACTCAGAAATTGGATTGGAGACGATCGCAAATGCCGCGGTTTCCGACAAAATGCGGATTTATGCCATTTCGCTATAGTAAGGATGGTGCGTCCAAAAAATAACGGAAGCGAATTGTACTGGAAGCGACATTTCGTTGATTTCATTGTTCATTGGGTGGTAAAGAGCAGAATGGTGGTCCCGTGCCAGTTCCTTCACTTCCCGATCTTCGAAAGATTGCAGGCGCAGTAGCTGTGGCATAGATAAGGATGTAGTATCGGTCCTGCAGGACCCTGGAGTACTCAGTAGGAAGATGTCTAGCTAACGTTTGAAACTCCCTTCTGACTATGCACTGACAATCGGAGCCGGGAGTCGGTTCCAGTCATTAATTACTCGAGTACAGAGAGTAACATCTGAGCGGACTTTGAACCTTGATTCAAACAGCTCCCAGCTGGGACCTCGAATCGAATTACCAAGTCATGGCTGAAAAACTGCCTCAGCTCGTTTCCCAGTTCTCCTCGTAGGATACGCCAAGCATAGATGAGGTCCTCGCGACGTCGGTGATAGTCTAAGGGAAAAGGTTCATCCTTTGTAGTCGGGCGGGATACGGGAGATCGCGTAGTCCAAGGACAGATTTTGAGGCTCGTCGCTGAATTTTTGCTAGCTTGTCACTTTCATGCTTCGATAGAGAGGCTATGGCCGAAAGTCCGAATTCAAGTGTCGCATACCTGTTGCAGCAAGACCGCCAAATGCCATGCCGAGAGTGTAGGTACTGATCGACAATAGGGCTGTCCGGTTGATGCACTAAACAGGTTGTTTTTGCGATGGTCTATTTTCAAAGTTTGAACGCAGTGTATGTTGTATCAGAAAAATTAAATTTCTTGAACTTCTGTCATTATTGAGGGAACGCCTCTGTTATGATTGCGTAAACCCTTGATAAGATTGTCACTGGCACGGTTGGAGCACGCCTATGGTAACGGCCTGGAACGCTGACCAATCGAACGGATTTGCGCTAACCTGATGGCGTTAGCTTAGTCCAGGATACGCGCTGGTGAGACGGAAATTGAGCGAGCGTGAGAACGATCCTAGCCGCACGTATTTGGGTAGACAATGGGCCCTCGGAACGGACGCACACGAGAGGAGGTTACGGTAGACGTGCGCTAGTGACTTAAACGCGAACGCTGATCGGCTAAAGACGCACACAAAATCACGTGACCTGACCGACTCCCAAGTAAGCCGAAGTGGAAAGCAAGACAGGCGGTCACCTGAAGGCTCTTTTACGACCAACAAAGGGCAAATCACAGCCAACGCTATGGGTCATTAAGTTAGGGAAAGTTGCTACCATGACGAGGTGGTAGTTTGTAAAACACCATTGTCAAAAGGTGGGCAGTTGGCCCGCGTCTCGGAGTGGCTGAACGCTGCTGCGCTGTGGGATGGAATTGGACGTCGCTTTCCACAGCCATTCTGCCGGGGTTTCTAGAGCGTTTTTGCGGGGATGTTTGACGGGCTCGCAACAAGTTCCTTCGGAGAAAGTCTATGAGGAGCTGCATAAGCTAAGCGCAGCTAGGTAGGAAGCGGCGGTAAAAGATTGCAAGCTCCGTGTAGTCCACGATGGTTATAACCTTATCTTCCAGTAGCACGACGCCTGCAGTAGTGACATGATAGTCGAGAAAATTGACAGATTTTGCACCAAATGTACAACCTTCTGCGTTGATCGTCACCCCGCGTTGGGTCAAACAGTCCAAATTGTCCGTATGTGACGCAAGTGATCTTCGCGCGAGGAGTTCGCGATTAAGATGTCGTCTGTAGCAACCCAAAGATATTTCTTATCTTAAATACAGTTTTGTTACTCAAGCGTACTATATTGGTTTTTGTTTTAGCGCCGACCCTACGGCCATCTTTACTTACATCGGCTCATCACTCGTATCCACGGTGAGTTCCCATACTGACGCATGCTCTCGTCGCTTCACCCGTCAGTCGTTTGATTGTAGCCTTTTTCGAATACAATCCGTAGTGTCCGTTCTTCCTGTTTTCTGGTATCCGCACCAGAGCAGGGACACCCTCGGACTAGCATAGACTAGGCGTACACACCCAGATCATCATCATCATCATCATCATCATCATCATCAGCATCATCATCAGCATCATCATCAGCATCATCATCAGCATCATCATCATCATCATCATCATCATCATCATCATCATCATCATCATCATCATCATCATCATCATCATCATCATCATCATCATCATCATCATCATCATCATCATCATCATCATCATCATCATCATCATCATCATCATCATCATCATCATCATCATCATCATCATCATCATCATCATCATCATCATCATCATCATCATCATCATCATCATCATCATCATCATCATCATCATCATCATCATCATCATCATCATCATCATCATCATCATCATCATCATCATCATCATCATCATCATCATCATCATCATCATCATCATCATCATCATCATCATCATCATCATCATCATCATCATCATCATCATCATCATCATCATCATCATCATCATCATCATCATCATCATCATCATCATCATCATCATCACCATCACCATCATCATCATCATCATCATCATTATCATCGTCATCATCGTCATCATCATCATCATCATCACCATCATCACCATCACCATTATCATCAACAACAGCAGTACATTAGCCATTTGAACTGATGCTTTGCTGCCATCCAACCATGAGGACCTACGAAATAAAGAAGAGGGACAGAAGCGAGACTTTCCTGAAAAGCTTAATGCCCTAAGCAAACATTCTGAGTCACGGCGCCTACACCTTGTGTAGACAACATACCGTCACAAACAGCTGGCTATCGTGCAAAGATAAGGCTGCATCGGCGAGACAGCTTCCTTGCGGCTTTCACTGCCACGCGTCATAATCAGCCATTACCCCGCAGATAACTCAGCACAAAACACACTTTAAAAAGACAATCCGATTAGGAGACGGCAGTAGACGCGACATTGGTGTCGGCTGCGAGCCATGTCCTGTAAAGTTTCGAGCCAAGCACAAGACGAGTCACGTGGACTCCAACCCGGAAGGCGAGACGGACGAACGGCACCCAGTTTGGTCGTCAGTGACTTCATTTCCCGCTGCCAAGTCAACTTCTGTCCACCTCGAGCCTTGCACCATCCTACACCTGGTAGACTGAATAAGGCCCTCCTAGGTAAGCGGTGACCAGGCATGCGTAGCACGTGCCCGAGCCAACGCAACTTATTCAGTGCTATCTGTTGTTCTAGGAAACTAGCGTGATTATCACCATTTAGTACTTGCCTACGCACATCATCGTTGCGGACACGCTGGTGCCGTCCGACACCAGCAATGCTTCGCAAACAACGATGATCAAAGACTTGAAGGCGCCTCAGATCTTCAGATCGAAGGGGCCAAGTTTCACTACCATAGGGTAGAACGGCCCTCACTGTGGCCTTGTATACACGGACCTTCAGACGGAGGGAAACTCCCTTCTGTCGCCAAAGATGACACAGGTTCAAGAAGGCAGCTCTGGCCTTTGCAATGCGTGAGCTCACGTCAGTTTCTATGCGCCCATCATTGCTGATGCAGCTGCCAAGTGAATTGATCAACCACCTCGAGTTCCTCGTTAGCAAGCGTCAAAGGGTTATCAAGTGGCTGGTGGTCCTGCAGCAACACTTTGTACTTTGAAGGTGCGAAGTGCATACTAAATAATGGAACCAGTCTGGATAGGCTATTCAGAGTTGATTGTGCCGCCTCAACATTGTCGAAAAGCAAGACGATATCGTCCGCATAATCTAGATCAACTAACCTTTCACCAGGCAGCACTTCAACATCTACATCGTGAGATTCCGCAAGGGAACATGATAGAATTCACGACGAAATTGAACAAAAACGGGGAAATCGGACAATCCTGACGAACGCCACTTGCAGTCGAAAAGCTATCTGATAGGACACCATAGATCCTGACGCGGCCTGTAGTGTTCGAGTATAGAGCACGAAGGATGTTCACATATTTCGTGGGAACACTTTTCGCGCAAGTAATGCGAACAGAATCGATCGATCGACTGAATCGAACGCACTCTTGAAATCAAGGAACACAGCTATTGTCGGTCTGCGGTATGCGTGGCGCTGCTCTAGCACCTGCCGCAAAGTAAATATATGGTCTATACAGCCACGTCCTGGGCGAAAACCGGCCTGCTCTTCCCTAATCCGAGATTCCCGTTCTGTAGTGAGGCGACGAACGATAATCGAGGCCAGTAATTTTGTCACAACTGGTGTTAGGCTAATACCCCTGTGGTTCGCACAGTCTGTGCGACTGCCCTTCTTGTATATTGCCACTATAATCGATTCGCTCCAATTAGCTGGCACACTCTTCGTTCCAGATACGTTCGAATAGGGATGTCAGTGTCCTGCAGAGGACCTCACCTCCATCCTTAAATAGTGCAGGTGGGAGGGAATCCGGGCCAGCTGCACGAAAACGATTAAGGGCTGTGATCGCGTTTCGGACCTCGGCCTCCGACGGAGGGTCTAAACTAACCGTCCATGGATCGTCCTGCATCACCTGAGTAGGAAGAGGTCCGGGAGCAGGGGGCCAGTTGAACTGATCTTGAAAGTGTCCCGCCCAACGAGCCATACGGTGCTCCTTATTGTGTATCAGCGCACTCGCGCTGTCCCTGATTGTCTCACTGACGCCGGGTTTTCTGGGACCAGTGGTGCGGATCAGCTGGAAGAGCTTGCGGTAAT